TACGACATTTTTTAAATAAATAAATAACATTCCAAACCCCAAACTGCATCATAAACAAGAACTGATCCGAATCCAATTTCATTAATTTTACTCCTAAATACGAATTAGAAATCTCAAATTTAAAATTCTAATCAAATCATTTGACTTTGAAAACTCCACAAGAAATCAACTGATCCAGTTAAACTGTCATTAAGCCAGAAAAATATTTTATCTCACAATAATGCAAGCAAATATCTAGATGCTCTTCCAAAAGCTCTTCTTCATCATTCCGGCACCACGGCGATGCCATGTTTTCACTTGAATGATCACTGAATAATATACAATACTCTCCTGCACCCTCTCAGAAACCTCAACGATCCCAAGGAGAGAGCAAATTAATACCGAACTGTCACTCCGATATCAATGATTTCACAATCCATCATCTTCTTCGTACAGCAGAACTTGGGCCTCGCTGCACTGCGCCTGCTGACTGCTGTACTTGGGAGGTCGACTGACCACCACCAGCCTGATCTTCAGGCATGTTCATTGCTTGGGTCATTGCATTCATGACTATGAATCCAAGTGGAATCAAATACATCCACTGCCCAAGAAACAATATACAAGTTAATATGAGAAGATTTTTTATGACTACTTTTCTCTTTTTTATAACAAAAAAGAAAAAATCTATTTTCTGTTTCACTGAGTTGTTAAATACTCACATATTTAGCCCAAAATGATTTTTCTGGTGGTTTTGCAACTTCACCCTCAACGCCCTCCTCACCAAGAATTTCTTCAGCAAACACTGGAGTTCTACAACAAACAAAATCCAAGATGTAACTTAAAAAGAAGATGCAGAAATTTATCGATAAACAATTTGACATATCAGCAGCTAGCTCATCTCTTCCCTCATTTTACTGGGGCGGAAAAGAAACAAATTCTCTTTCACAAAAAAAAAAAAAAAAAAATCTTGTTTTTCAATTTGATATAGAACTACAAGTGAGCCCACAAGTTGAAAAAGAAATATCGACTGTTGCAACATCAGCATACCTCGGTGCCTGCTCACTGTTCTTCAAAACTGTGTGCGAGTTGAAAGACCACTTGGCAGGCTGAAAAGAAGAGAAGAGAAGCTTCAGGTAAGATAACTTCAACTAAATAACCAGATGGAATTTAGGATTCTTCAGTTCATTATATTTTTCTTTTCTTGGTTCCTCTCTTCCTTGTACTAGTTCCCTATTACAGTTTCCATGTGTTTGGTACCTTGATGATACATAGATCAGAAATTCTGATATATAATGAAAGAGAGTATAGTAGAATTTTTTAAAGAACTGCATGAGGTGGGTTCGTTGGTGAAATCCTTAAAACTCTACATTTTTGTATAAATTACCAAGATGAAGAGAGCAGCGAATATTAAAGAATTCTAATATGTTTAGTGGGATTTGTATACAAGTTGATTGAGAAGATCTTAGTCGGAGAATGATAAAAGTGCTAGGTAAAGTGATAGAGGAATGTCAGCATGCTTATGTCAAAGGACGGCAAATTATGGACGTGGTTCTGGTTGCAAATGAGGCAGCGGATGATCTTCTGTTAAGGAACAGAGATGGAGTACTATGTGAATTTGACATAGAAAAGGCATATGATCATATATTAATTGGAGATTTATTGATTATATGCTAGCGAGAATGGGCTTCGATGAAAAATGGTGAAAGTTGATCAATTCTTGCATTACCACAACATCTTTCGCGGTTATGGTGAATTGGGGTCCATTCTCTTCTTTTAAGGCCTCAAGAGGTCTCAGACAAGAAGATCCATCATCTCGCCTATTATTTATTGTTATTATGGAAGTTTTGAACAAGATGCTTCTAAGAGCCAGGAAGTTGGGTTTGTCGAGGTCTCAAGGTGGGAAAAGGTGACTTGTCTCAGGAAGTAACACATTTATTTTCTGCAAATGGCAGTTTGGTGTTTTGCAAGCCCGAAGAGAGTGTACTACTCAACCTAAGATATATCTGGCCTTAGCATCAACCTTTCCAAGTACGAACTGGTGAAATTGGGAATTGATTGCAATTTTACTAGATTAGCAAAGGCCTTCAGGTGTAAAGTAGTGGAACTACCCATCAAATTTCTGAGTATATCGTTGGGTGCTATTTACAAATATGTGAGAATGTAGAACCCTGATATGACAAGATTTGAGAGGAGATTTGCAAGGTGGAAGAGGAATTTACTATCTAAAGATAGATATCGAACACTCTTTAGAAGTATATTGTCCAATCTTCCTGTTTACTGCATGTCTCTTTTAACAATCTCAATAAATATTAATAAGAAGCTGGAATTAATTCAATGTAGATGTCTTCGGGTGACTTGGAGGAGATAATGAAATACCACTTGGTGGCATGGGAAATGATTAAAAAGATCTTTAAATCAGGTATAATTGGGTTTGATATATATAGTTGAGATGAATCAGGTGCTTCAGGAAAAGTGGATGTGGCTGAGGACTTTGGGAATGTCCTTGATATACTACCTAATTTGTAAATCTCTTGTAAATGGGTGGTGCCCCTTCCTTTTTGGTACTCTACTAATATAGTTACTATACTTTTTCTTTCATGCAAAAAAAAAAAA